AAAATCAAAGAACAGCATCGTTACAATCTACATAACTTACCCCAAGTTATCCAGCCAGTCTGGCAGAGCCAGAATTTAATATCTGTTCATCTGCTTCTAGGGTCCCAAATTGTCTCCAGTATGATCCTGTTTTCATTTTCATAAAAGAAATAAATACAAATGTACACTAAAAACTAAAGTGGGTTTGTTAAAAATGTAATATAAAAATTCCATTTTCCTTTTAAGCCATTTTTATAAGTTTTATACAATTCTTACAATAAATATATATGTTACTTTTATAAAGAGAGTTTACATATTAGGGAGAGGGGTTGATAAAAAGAATGGCTGGATACACCAAGGTTTTCTGCCATTTCCAAAATTTAGGTTGTAGGTTCAGGCAGTGTACAGGATGGATTGCCTGGGGAGGGAGAAGAGAGGAGGTGTAAGTGGAGAGGGTCTAATGGGCTCAGTGCTGCCTTTATGGCTGGTGGTTGACTTTGTGTTGAAGGAAACAGTGATCATGCTGGCATTTTAATCTCTCATGCTCTTTACAAGTTATGCCATTAGAAACAGGACTGATTCCAAGTGGGGACGTGACTGTGAATCACTACCAAGTAAAATTACTTTGCATGTGCATCAGCTGGGACCACCTGGTGGTGTACCTTGTCATATTAAAATATTTTTCCCTTCTGTGTGGAACAGAAAGCATCTGATAGTGTAATGATTATTAACACTCCAAAATGATTGTTCTTCATTTTTTCACATGATGGTCAAACACAGGAAATCAGTATGACTCTTTAGTTTGGATTTTGGTTTGAAATGTGTATCTTGTCTCCCTAAGTCAACAGATGGCTTTATTCCTTCATATTGATTCTGATTAACTTCGCTATTGAATCAGTTGGTAACTTATCATGTCAAAGATCTTTAGAGTAAAGCATAATAAAAGAATTTTAGATGAGAAAAAGATTTTTTTTCTTCTACTCCACATACCAACCTCTGTTATATGCTGATTAAAAAATAGTTGTTTTCTAACATAATCTCTTTGACCCCAAAATTAGTTTTATCACCCAAACTTTTAAAAGGTTCTTCCTATTTACTATGCCTAAAGCTTCCTTAAGCAGAAATGCTTACACTTAAAATCCTTTTATGTACAAAATACGGGAACAGTTTAAAGATGAGTTCAGGTCAGATTAAAATCTAAACCAAACTATTTTATCTGTAATTTGTTCTTTGGCTTCAAAATCCTGAATCATTACTCAGAAACGGACTTCCTGTACTCTTCATTCACTGACTGATTTAACAGGAATTAACTGTTAGCATGTTGTTGATAAAATTTTTCTGATACATTGTCTCTGGAAATAATGTAGAGGGACATGAAAATGCCACTTTCCTTCTTTGTGGGGGTTATATTCCTATTTAGGTTAAATCTGTATTACTACCCTGTGGAGATTGTCCCCAAATTATTGCCTAATATCTATGCTCTCCTCCTATGTAAAGGCCAGTTCACAAAGACATGTGATAAGTTAATTTCAAGAGTCTCTTGTAACACTGAGATTAAAGACATTATCTGTTATTTTATCCAATGACTCTTCTATTTGAGTGAGACAAAATCCTCCCAGATGTCAGCATGGAAAGACTCGCCACATGAATTTAGAGACCTCTTTTTGTCGTAAATTGAAAACTGCACCATTTCTATTTACCTTGATTGACAGAGATCTCAAAATTAAACTTAGATCTTAATTGAAGGGACTATCTCATTCCTAGAGACAAAAGTATATGTAGATTCTCTGCCCTACACTTTCTTTTGCCTGGGCTTTAATTGTCCTATGTAATAGTGGTTTTTAAATTATAAACTGCTAGAGACAATTTTCAGAGTTCTAAGTACCAACAACATAGCTCTCAACAGGAAAAAGAATATGTTTAGCTTTCATTCCTATTATGTAAACACTCTCATATGGGCGATTGGCAAGTAGGGATGTTACAGAACTTTTTATCCTATGTTCTTGTGTTGAAAATTTAATTATGTACTTTGGAAAACTGAGAATATTAAAAAAAATAGTCTCTTTGGTTACTATTTTGGTGTTTAATTAGAACACTTAATATTCAAATGCATTGGCCTGTTCTTAACGCAAACATATCCCATAATCACACTGGTATGTTTCCTCTTTCACTTACTCTTTACTTCTTCCTAAGAGATATTCCTTATACAAGACACACTAAAAAGGTGGAAAAATCGGCCAAATGTTCATTAATAGAAGAATTAACAAAGTGTGGTTTATTCATATTTTGAATATAATATAGGAGTGTAAAGAATGGATGCTGAGAAATGGGAACCCTCCTTCACTATTAGTGGGAATGTAAATTGGTGCAACTGTTTGGAAAGCAATATGAGGTTCCTCAAAAAACTAAAATTAGGAATACCATTTGACCCTGTAATTCCACTCCTAGGAATTTACCCAGAGAAAACAAGATTCCTGATTCTAAGACTTATGCACCCCTATGTTTATCGCTACACAATTTACAATAGCCAATATATGGAAGCAACCTAAGTGTCCATCAATAGATGGATGGATAAAGAAGGTGTGGTACATATAAACAATGGAATATTATTCAGCCATAAAAAGAAAAGAAATCCTCCCTTTTCGAACAAAATGGATGGATCTAGAAGTCATTATGCTCAGTGAAATAAGCCAGGCAGAGAAAGAGAAATACCAAATGATTTCACTTATTTGTGGAGTATAACAACAAAGCAAAACAGAAGGAACAAAATAGCAGTAGACTCACAGACACCAAGAAGGGATTAGTGGTTATCAAAGCGGAGGGTTGGTGGGGAGGGGGAAGGGGATTAAGTGGCACAATCATTCACAATCACAATATAGGGTGGACACAGTATACGTAGTACAGGGTGGAGAATACAGTTAATGATTCTGTAACATCTTACTATGTTGATGGACAGTGACTACACTGGAGGAGGTGAGGGCTTGATAATATGGGTGAATGTGTTGTATATTTGAAACCATCATAAAACTGTATATCAATGATACTCTAATAATAATAAAAGAATGGATGCAGATCTATATACCAACACAGACAAATTATCGAATCATATTGATAGATACAGAATGAAGTTGCCAAATATGTACAGTTTCACACAGGCAAAAAATTTAAAATACTTTTATAAAGATGTATTTAGGAATATAAATTCTCAACAAAAATTTAGGAAGGATCCATGCCAAATTCTTACCTGGTTTCCCTCTAGGGAGAGAAATTGTGATATTTATAAAAGTTCAAAGGGACTTCAGTTTTGTCTGTAATTTTTCACAGATTTTTTTAAATTTGTAGTTTATATATTTTAAGATAATATTAAAGTGGCAAACATGAATAGCCTTAACTATATTTCTAGGAGTAATAACTGCTTCAATGTCCGTAGGTGGGTTCTGTGTTTTGCTGGCACAATACAAGGACATTAAGAGGAAACTGTCATTTACCAAATCAAAAAAGAAAAAAAAAAGCCAACTTCTTTTACTATAAAATACTTTTTTTTATACTGATAACTCTTGTTCTTCGGTTGACCCTCCCTAACCCTTGAGAAATCATGGAAATTTTAAGATAACAGTACAATGACTGTGGGTTGAAGCAAAGCTAAATTGGACCAAAGTCAGCTTGGCAAATTGTCATGCTGTTTTTGTATTTATTTCTTTCAACTTTAACACCCACCATTTATTAAGTGAGACTGGATAAAAGAGGAAGCTCCGAATCCTGTTTGGACACCGTTTAGGAAGGAAACCAGGTCTTTATGGGGACACCCCCTTCCTCTTAGCCACTGGCCAGGAAAACCATCTTTCTGTTTAAAACCTATTCAATCTGAGAGAGGTGGGGTGACTTTGGGAAGGAAAGTGACCTCTCCCTTATAAAGTAGAATGGCTGTGTTTCCCCCTGTGACTTAGTCAACTCATTTCCACCACTGTTTATAAGAACACTTGTGTTGAATGCTTGTAGTGACAGCAATAGTTGTTTAAAATATGGTTCAAATTTCATGCCCTCAAATTTCCTATGTTATTTCAAATCTTTCATCATCAAAATCCTAGACTGGAGCTTTTGGTCAGCTCAAGTTTTGCTAACACCTTTTTGAAGTTAACAGGTATACTTCCTACAAGCCAGGAGTGGAATCAGTGCATGTATTACTACTGTGTATAATAAAAGCATGGCTGCTATCAATGACACAGGACATGTTTTTCTTAGATGCCTTACATGCTGGGGTCCTGAGGTAGATCCATGTATGAAACAGCTGTGATACACTGGCTGAGAGGGGATATCAGAGGATCTTGTTTATTTTGAAGGTCGTCAGCACTGTGCATTTTGAATACCATTGGATTTTGACCTCGAATTTTGCTATGCTGATTTATTTAATTTACATTGCTCTGTGGCTGTGAATCACTGATCTTTTAATTGAAATTGGTTCCTTTATTCACTTCTAAAGAATATTTCAGTAACCTTTCTTTTTTGGGGGATAATTTTAGACTAAACTCTGGTCTGTATGAGGATTTCACCAGTTTTTTCCCCTGTGTTCCTTTTTCTGTTCTGGGATTGAACTCAGAGCACCACATTGCATTTAGTCATCTTACCTCTTTGGTCTTCTGATTTGTGACAGTTTCCAAGTCTTTCCTTTTTCCCACAACCTTGGTGATCTTGGAGAGTACTGGCCAGGAATCTTGTAGAATATTCATCATTTTTAATAAATACAAATGTGTAACCTCTGGGATTTCTGAAGGAAAGTCCATGTAGGCTTAGTAATAACTTGCACCACTAATTTTCCATTAATACACCAGTTTCAGCCTGGTGATTGTTACTTTATTTTCCTATCAGTTATGACAGCACTCTAGGATTAAAAGTTGATTTATGATGAGTTTAATATCTGCTTCATATTTGCTTCATCTGTATGCATTCTGTATTCTTGGTTTTGCCAGTTTTTCAATGAAAAGCCCACAGGAAGTTTTTATTTTGTCTATTGTTTATGACAGATTCGAGATGGGCAACCAAATTGTTACGTATTGAAGAATAAAGATTTAGAACAAGCTTTTAAAGGGGCTATTTACTTGGAGATGGACCTCATATATAATCCGGTAAGTCGAACTGGGCCATACCTCCTAGCTTCTCCTTACTTCAAGTAAAGCTGACCAGCCTGGAAGGATGTAAATGTAAAATGTTCCAGAACTGTTGCAGCTAGAGAGAGAGAATGGTGTTTTTAAACTAGCCATAAAATCAGGGCTGGACATTTCAATTTTCAACTGGTATTAATCCTGTTGAGCCAGTAGAATTGATGGTGTTTAATTTTCAATACTTCTAACATAACTGTCACTGAGAAAATAAAAAATAAAAGGGAAAATTAGGTTTTTAGCTTTATTACGTGTAATCTTCTAAGGCCAACAGTTCGCTGTTTTGAACAGAGATGTTTTTGAGGTTCTAGCATGTTATTTAATTATTATTGTTGATGTCCTGCTACCCCACTATCAAGACAAGTATTTACTCATTTGAAAACTGTTAAACAGGCAACTTTGATTCTTAGGTATTTTAAACCTTTAATGTAAAATATGTCAATATGCTTGTGTTTACTAATCTTTAGGAGTGAGCCTAAAACCTTTTTTTTAAAGCATAGATTTAGTTCTGTTTCATTCTACAACAAATTCCTGGCATAAATATTTCCATAACATCTATAATAATTTCTAGTTTCAGTTTCTTTTAAAGCGGGGATCTATTTTGAAGACACAGAACAATCTGCACATAGAATATTCCAGGTTGTTTTTCCATAAAATTGTTACCTCCATTATAGTATCTTTTTAGTGACTGACCTTTAATTGAGGATCTCTGGAGTGACATAAATTTCAGCTGTTTTGGTCTATGGTTGTATTTCAATGATTTACATAATAAGTAATTAAAATATAGCAGTACAGTAAGAGGTAAAAGGCATAAACAGGTTTGGAAATTTGCACTGTTGATTCTCGGTGGGCACACAATTGGGCTGTAGTGAGCAGAGATTCCTAGGCATGCAGGGAAGTGGCCTTCTTAGCTGTGAGCATTCATAATGCCAGGGTCTCAGCAGTAGGTTTGAGAAAGGGCAAGGAGCACAGAGGTTAATCCAGTTAGTGGTACAAATGAATGTAGGGTAATGGGGCTTTTACAGTAATTATAAGAGTGGCTGCCATTTATTGGCCCCCAACAATGTGCCAGGCTCTGACATTATTTCACTTAATCCTCACAATAAACCTGGTAAATAGGTATCCCTAATGGCATTTTATGATGAGCAAATGGAATTAAACAGGAGAGCTGATTTGCTAATAAATGAGTGAGTCAGGATGAAGTTCTAGACCTGCCTGAACCTGCAATCAATCCTATGCTCCACTTCTAGTTTCATGTCTTTAAGGAATTTTTCATAAAATCATGGCAGGAAATTTTTGTATTTTCTTCCCAGTAGTGCTAGAACTCTGGGCACAGCGTCCAGTTTAGGCTCTGCTATTGCTTCCTCATCTTCCCTGTTTTTTTCCCCTTTCCCTTCTAAGAAACCATATGTACAGGTCCCTCTCATCTCCTGTATTCTTTCTAGCAAGTACTTAGTCTCTAGTCTATGCACACAGATAAAACCTGAGTTTTTAAGGGAAAAAAGCTTACATCGAAAATATGTTGGACAAGTGATTTTCCAGTTGTCCATTTACTATAGAAGAAAAGGACTTGAATTTTATTCCTTGTAGCTTTCTTCAGTATGGTGATTTTGGACAGACCACTAAGTCCCTCTGACCCTCAGTTAATTCTCTAGAAAATGGGGCTAAAATGACTCATATACCTATTTTTCCAGATCAATGAGAGGAAATGAGGTTCTGGGTGGAAAAGATGTTTTATGAACTAGAAACTGATTTTCATGTGCAAGCTGTTATTGGTGGAAGTGTAGTTCAGAACCTTGATGTGAAGGGAAGCTTAGCTTTTTTAGAGATCCTGGTTTGAGAACTCGATGAGCCCAATCTCGCAGGGGTTTAAAATACCTCCATGGATCTGCAAAGTAGATACAACAGTCAGCATCTCCCCATCCCGTCTGACCTACCTAAGTGAAGCTCATGAAATGAGATTCCCGGAAAAGACAGGCAGAGCCCAGGGGTACCACCATTTTTGTGCTCCAGGCCAAAACCTTAGGGGTCGGAAGGTATTGCTTTCTGCGTTCTCCCAGTTATTAAGAACAAGAAAAGAAAGAAGTCTGTATCAATACTGCCCTTTTCAACAATGTTGTCTTTCTAGGTCAAAGCAAGTATTAGGACCTTTACTCCCAGAGAGAAGCGTTTTGTGGAAGACAGCCGCAAGCTGTCCAAAAAGGTAGGTTGGTACAGTAACTGGCTAATTGGTTCAGTCCTCACCCGGCACCCAAAGTGCTTATTTGTGGCTGCTCTTGGCACCTCCCCCTGCTTCCTCGTCCTTCTATCCTTCCCTCTCTCTGCCCCCACCTCTCCACTCTTTTCTCTCGGTCCCCCCTTCTCTCCCAAAACAAGACTTCAGTCAGCTCAAAAAGAAGGGAAAGACTTAAAACATATCTATTAGATGAATGGGAAGGTGTCAGCCCCCATTAATCTCCCAAAGCACTCTGCCAACGAACATTCCTAGTGTCAAGCCTCCATAAACACTCTCCTGAGTTGACTCGCACTGCCTACCCATAATCAAAGCCATGCTAGTCTCTGTCCTTCGAAGTTTCCGAGAGCGTTGCTGTCCATGTGTGCAGTCCCTGCAGGAACGAGCTCAGCGGATCTTAGGGACGCCTGCCTTGGCATTCCCCCCACCCCCCCACGCAGGTGCCTGTGTCACTTCTGTATCGTCTAAATCTGAGATATGTGGCATCTTACCTCGGACTGGATCAACTCTTCCCTCTGCTGTTGCCCTTAGTCCCGCCGTCATTGGTTCAACAGAAAGTGAAGATCTGGGCCCAGTAGGGGAAGTTGCCCATTTTTCAACATGGCCTTTGCATTTCTTCTCACTTCCACCCCGTCCTACTCAGACCCGTATCAGGATTTCACTCTGTACCTGTTGTCCCTCTTCAGTTTGTCACAAAGAACAAAGTGTCCCCTTTTTCAGATGTTTATTACTTCCACCACTTCCTGTGGGCAAGCCGCTGTGGATTACCTAGAGCAGCTAAATATAGAGGCATCTGATCATCGTTTTGTTTCCCACACCCTTCTGGGCACACGTGGGAAAGGCCTTACACACTCCTGAAGGGGGCATCCAGAGGTTTTGCTTTTGTCTGCCGTAACATGGGGTGTGATATTTATTTTGTGCAATCTGAGCGAATATCTTATTTTCTTCTCATTATTATTGCCTTTGACTCTGTGTATTGAAAGGATGCTGCATCATCCTTTCAATTCTCTCAACCTGAGTTGAGGGTAAGTGGAGTAGCTGCCTTGCAAACACATTGAAATGAATCTGCCTGCAAGTGGGAGAAAAGACATTTCCTTTGCCAATCATGACCTCCCTGACGTTGGGTGGCTTTGGGCTCTGAGAGCACCAAGGGATTTGGGGCTGAGATCCTGGGGTATGTTGGGAGCCTCCCCATGTGTCTCTTAGCACTAAGTGTTCCCAAATCTCCATAAAGTTGAAACCTGTGCTTATGATGCAAGTACTTAAAAGCACTTATTATGCAACAAGCACTTTTCTAAGCCCCTTAATTCCCCTCCACAACCTGCAAGGTTAGCAGTAATGTCAATGCCATCATATAAGAGAGAGGTCAAGAAACTTGCCCGAGATCACATAGCTGGGAGGTGGGAGAACTGGATTCTTTTCCCACAACCGTGCTTCCCTATAGTCTTTCCTTCTGGACTAGATGAGGGAGAAAGCTTGTATGTTTCTACTGTAAATCTATCCATTTCCTTCCAAACTAAACATGGACACTCATTGCCATTCTCTCTGTCTCTCTGTCTCTATCTCTTTCTCTCTCAAACACATCACACCAAATGCTTGCCTATTGTAGCTTTTACCAGCTTAGTTTTGTGCTGAACATTATTGAAACAGGCTATTCTCCATCAAAAGAGCTACGAAATGCATTGTTTTTTTTTCTTTTCCTCTATGAATGATGGAGTTTGAAAAATCATTTTAGAAGACAGAGTAGGACTTTCTCTTTCCATTTTTTAAAAAAATTTTCATTACAGAAAATATAATTTAAATGACCACACCACCTGATCTCAAGAGAATATTTAGAGTATTTAAATCTAGCTCCCTGTTTCCCATTTTTTTAAATCAGATCTTATCAAGAGATGTAGACCGTGTGAAAAGAATCACCATGGCGATATGGAATACAATACAGTTCCTTAAAAGCTGCTTCCAGTGGGAATCCACGCTGAGAAGTACAGTAGCATTTGTGGTAAGCTTCCTTTTTTATGTTCAAATCATTTGCTTCTGAGTCCAAATGCAGATACGTTTTCTTTTACTGACCTGAGGCAGAATAATGCACATTCAACATAGCTGAAGTTTATACCTGTAAAGAAACTTCAAAACTTAAATGACATCCATTCATCTTTCTATAATGTAGCTAGGTGATTATGTATGTAGTCCTACAGTCCTGCTAAGACTGTACTTCAGTCCGATTTACCATTGGAAATCCCTTAAATTGCCTAAATCTTACACACACACTACTTCACGGTAGGTGTAAGAGAGCCAGTGACTGTATATATTTTTTTAATGTTTTCATGGTGTCAATTATAACCATGCTTGTAGAGTCCTGCATTGTATATATATGTCTCTTTCTGAACCAGTGAATGCCAGTATTTCTTATTAATGGCAGTTGAAAAATCGCATGACTAAATTAAGACTAAATGCTTTCATTTCCACTTTACGTATACCATTCACAAACTTTGATATAAAAATCATTTCTGCACATCAGACCACTGGAGACACAGCTGACCAGTGCACATTACAAGTTGACTCCCTTGGCACAAAGGTGAAGTGCTCATATATGGGAAATGCACTCCATCCCTCTGGTAACAATGGCCAATCCTTGGGACATAATAAAATCACAGAATCTCAGAGCTGCAAGACATCTTAAAACCACCTAAGTCAACTCCTGGGAGCCCAAGAATCTTGCAAGGACTTGAAAGTTGGTGCAAAGCTCTTGTTTACATCTCTGGGAATTCTTCTCCGTGTCTTGATCAGATGGGTGGTGTCAGACATGGGAAGGGAAATGAAGTCTCTCAAATGCCAATCTTGCATGTTTCATATTATGCCGTTAATTTCTGTGCTGTGCAAAGTTCACGATAGGGCCTGATTTCTATTGTCAGTGATACCCCCCAGGCATACCCTCATTAAAAAATAAATCAGCCTAAGGATGTCAGTGGGTTCAAGGTCACTTCTACCTTTATTATGCAAGAAAGCATATCGGCTCCCAAAGAGGACTTTTCTTTGCCATTGGAGAGCATCCTAGTGGTCAGTTAATTTCAGTTTTTCATTGCTTCAGGATGTAGTGGGCCTATGATGGCTACAGCCTTGATTTATAATCTCCTTTTTTGTTTGGTCTGTAGTGGCTAAAATAACTGGCCTTGATAAAAAATAAATAGGAATGTTAGTAATCCCTGTCTTTGTTTTGCCATGTATTCATCCACTTTCCTTTCTCACTTTCTCCCCAGCCTTCATGTGTTGGGTTCCTCTTCAGTCTCCTCACCAACACTTCCCATCTTAATTCTCTTTAAAAACTTTCCACGGAATGTTCCGTGTGATTCTGGGCTACAGAGAAAAGTCAGCACAATCGGTGGCTTCACCACAGCCAGCCCCTGCGAGGAGGAGAGGATTTCCTCTTGAGCTTAGTTTCTGGCACTGTGCTTTTTAGAAAAACAGAACTCTGTTGCACTGAATTGTGTAGGAGAATGACCAAAATGATTAATGGGCTGCTGGCCTGATCTGAAGAAAGATGAGAACAAATGAATAGAAGCTGGCTGATTAACAGAGGGGACTTCTGAATGGAAAGGGAGCCTTGGTAGTGGGGCCCTTCTGTGCTGCCTGTTTCCCTGAGGGTCTCTTCCCTGTGGGCACCACATGGTGGAGCCCTCTTCCAGCCTGGCAAATTCAGGCTGCCGCATCATCCTTTCAATTCTCCAAGGGTCACAGAAAGGAACAGAAAGGTGGTGGTCATCTTGCTGCTTTGCCGAAGCGTGGTTTTGCAAGGATACATGGCTTTATGAGATTCTGGAAGGGTCCCCCTGTGTGTGTGCATGGGGGACATTTTCCACTGGGTGTCACTGTAAAAGTGCACAGTCAGTTGGGAATGACACGTGTAAGTTGTCTTTCTGGGTTGTTGTAGGGAAAATGGAAGTTCCATGGCCAGGATTCTCACCTGATCCTAATCTCACCCATTGTGTACATGTGATGATGTACTACTTAGCCTACTGAGCAGGCGCATACTTGTGTGCCTGTTGGCAATAAGCCATTACTGCTATAAAAAGAGGTTCCCTGCTGCTAAGAGCAGATCCTAGATAAGTGAGCAAGAGAGAGGAGAGCAGAGGCTGGGAGTGGAAGCAGTACCTGGGGCAAAGGGTGAGACCAAAGTGGATGGGATTCTTCTGCTTGACCTACTGCCATGAGAATAAAGCTTGGTAGGAGCCCCTTTTTTACCCCTAACCTTCCATTGTCATTATTCAGTCTCACCAAATTCAGAGTGAACTTGCCTGGGGCTGAAGCCCTCAGGTGAGACAGATGTCCTGAAGGTACTGGAATGAATAATGTTCACTTGAACCCCTTTAGTTTCCAGTTTTAATTTGAAGCCCTCTGTTTGAATGCTTATCCCACCTTCACTTTGACCAGCCTTGGTAGATCTCAGAGACACACCAGGTAGAGAGAGGTGGATATCTCCCTGCGTGAAGCTGCTCAAGTGTAATTTTGTTATTACTGTCATGATGGTCATTTCAAAACTACGTCTGCATTTGTGTCTGCAAGAACATATAATGAACATGTACTCTTAGGATAAATGAAAAATATATTTTAATCTCCCCCCACCCATTTTTAAAATAAGATAACGGGTGGCCGGGCCTCCACTTCTTGGAGAACATTTTACTTAACAGATCTTGCCTTCAGACTTTGGGTAGCTACGTGGAGAGTACTAATGGGTGGTCCCATGCCTGGGGGCCACCATCGGTTGTAGTGCTGAGTCCCTGACTCTGCGGGACCCGAGTCACCCTTCTGCAAAATGTTGGATCCTCAGGGGACCCAGGCCGGAGAGGGCGGAAGAGAGCCTGGAATGCTGACACCCAGCCTCTCCTCTTCCCCGTTCCTCCAGCAAGAGCGCAGTGTTTGTCATTGCTGGTTCGCACTGATGTTGGCCTGTGGTCTGCAGAGGACAGAATGCTGCTCCTGGTCCTTTGTCATCAATGTGATCGTTTGTTCAGGCTTCATCCACTTGCCTTGGCATTACAGGGCAGAACAATTTCATGGTGGTCTGGAGCAAGGGTTTAAGCCAAGGATGTATTAAACAACAGGACTGCATTTCAAGGCCTTTGTATATTAGAAATGAAGGAGTTTGCTGCATAGGGGTGAAAAGACCATTTTGGCTGAACCAATCCCCAGTGGGGTTTTTCTTTCCCCCAGAAGTATACGGACCGAACAATAGAAATTATTTTCTCTTTCTATATTTTGTCAGATAATATAAAATAGCCCACTTGTCTCACGTCAGTGTCTCTATTTTAAGATGATACAAAGCACGCATGTGGTAGGATCGTGTTTAGTATATTCTGTTGGTTAATTTTAAGGCTTTATGAAAGCAAACCATACATTTTCTACGGTTTCCTATGGAGCTGTGTATGAAAATATCATATATTGTTGAAGGCAGCCTGTTGAGATGTAGGTTTGCGTGGTGTCCAGTCAGAAGACGATGAGCAAACAGGAGAGAATTCATCTTGTTACACTGTACAAGCCTGAATCTCCTTCACCACAGGATGAATCCCCTCTGTACTTACATGGCTGGTTGAAATCCCAATCGTAAGAGAAGAAAGTCGTCTTTAATCCATTGATACCTGCTATGGGAATGTTGCTGTACAAGGTTTCATTCATTGGTACTGTATTGCATTACTGTACTGTACTGTACATTACTGTACTGTCAATGCATTACTGTAACAAAATGCATTTGGCCTTTCTTTAGAGTGTTCAAAACCCTCCAAACTGTGCTTCTGCAGGTTCATTTTTTTTTTGTTGGGATGATTATGGAAAATCTTGCTCATTATATCATTCTGAGACTTTCTCTTCCTTCTATGTTTTCTAGATATTTCACTGTGTTGCATTTTCTGAACTTTACCTGTATTTTTATAAATTAAGTATATCTATATTTTATTCCATTTTTGCTCAAAAGATCCCATTCTCAATTTTACTGATTAAAATACCAATTAATATGAGATGTCAATTTATTGATAGACACCCAAATGTAACTAAAATATCTTGCCTAGAAGGGCAGCTATGTTTTTCTATGAGTGGATCTGTAAAAATACATGCTGTTTTATAGACATGCACATGGTCACTTCCAGACACAGACTTTGAACTCTAGGAATATTTAATAGCACATGTGGTTTCAGGGCTTTACTAGGTGTCAAGCACTGTCCTACACATTTGACAAATGTTAATTCATTAAGTTCTCAGAACAACCTGCTGATGTAGGTGCTGGTTATTACCTTTTTACAGATGAGAAAAATGAGCCCATAGAGGTTAAATAAAGTGTCGGAGCTCATATGCTTATAAGAGACAGCTCAGATTTAAACCCAGACCATCAGGCTTTTGCAACAGTTTTTAATCGCTGGCTTATACTGCATCTCATTGGTGCCTAGAAGGCAGCGAGTGTGGTCCTTGCATTTAGATAGATGATAATGGCTCTAGGGACAGCCACATGCTGGTCATTTCAGATATGTATTCAGATGGTGTGATTGGGAATTAAAACTATTCCAAAATATATTGGGGCAAAGAAACCCTTGTTCCATGGGTGGAAATAATTCTAATTCATAATCATTATCTTCGCTAGAGATGGAGCCAAAATTAAAGAAGTGAAAGGTGGAAATGTCAGTAACATCTTTCAAGAAGAGCCCAAATCCTGGGAATTGCAGGCACTTGGCCTCCTTGGACTCCAGCTTGATGGTCTGGAAAACCTCACTGCCTCCTTCTAGGCTTAGCCCCAAATTGGAGTCTGAGTTATCTTTTTACCCCCATTTTGGGGGTAATTTCTTCAATGATGCAGAAGATTTTTCTAGGCTAGAATGAAGGCTAAAATCAAATAAATGAAGGGGGCATGGAAGGAATTTATGCTTTTTAGATTCTTTTAAAAAATTCCAGATTGTTCAAAATAAGTAAAGAATAGAGAAGAGTAACTAGCTAAATTAATGCGTCACTTCGAAGTAT